GACGGGAAGGGGCCCGTGTGCGGCCGGCGTCGAGGCGCTCCGGGGGGGGAAGGTGTCGTGGCCCCGCGGGCGCTGGTTGTGCACGTGCAGCCGCTTGGAAAATAAACCTTATTTTTCTGATGGGCCGGTGCCTGCCTGCCGCCCCGGCGTGGGGCAAGGTGGGGAGCACGTGGGGTCCTCAAGATGGCCCCGGCCCCCTGCCCTGTGCCCACCGCTGCTCTGTGCCGCTGGAGCCAGCACGACCGTCCCGGCTCTCCCCATGGGTGCGCTTGAGGGCCCCAGTGGGATCCATGTGGGGCGAGACCCCGGGCACACGATGTCCCCGCGTCCCCAGGCCCTGCTGACAGCTTTGGCCCTGCAAGGGCTACGGGAGCCCCGACACGGTCCGCGCTGTGCCGTGCCGCGGGATGGGGACAGCGCTGCCAGCCCCGTGCCGCAGCCACGAGTGCCTGGGCAGTGGGTCGGTGTTGGTGTCGCTGCTTTTGTGCCTTCCCCACTGCCTGGTACATCATAACTGCCACGGCTGCCACCGCCACCACGACTGCCACCATCATCGCGACTGCCACCATCACCATGATCTCCACCAGCACCATGAGTGTCCCTACCACTGTGACTGCGAGCACTGCTGCAACTGCCACCACCGCCGTGACTGTCACCGCCACCGCCGTGACTGTCACCGCCACCACGACGGCCACGCACGGTGGGGCTGAGGCAGCAGCACCTGCGTGGGGTCAGGTGGGGACGCGGGGGGTTCCCAGGCCGGGTCCCCCCTCGGGACCCTGCTCGGGGGGGCAGGGCCGGGCTGGGCAGCAGGGAGCGCCGAGCCTGGGAAAGGTGCCGTGCCGGGGCCCGCAGCTCCCAGGGGCCGATGCGTCCCGCGGAGCAGAGGCAGCTGCGGCTGGGGCGGCCGGGGGCTCCGGGGGCAGCCCCCTGAGGGCTGCAGGGCCAGACCTGCCCCGTCTCCCTGGGGTGCTGGAGCCAGCAGGGAGCAGGGGGAACGCCCTGGGGGTCCCGCAGGAGCCTCCCCCAGCCTGCCCCGGGGAGCGGGCGAAGGCGGGAGCCCAGCGGCACCTTTCGGCCCCCCGTTCGGCCGGGGCGAGCCTGCCCCGGGCTCCCTCCCCCCGGGTTTGATTTATGGAGCTGACAGCGCGGCGCAGCTGTGAGAGCTGGTCCCAGGCAGGGACCGGGGTGGGTGGGAGAGGTTTGTTCTCAGCGTGGCTAATGTGTCCCAGACCCCAATAAACAGCCGTGAGATTCTCCAAACAGCCCGGGACACAGAATCCCTGCCCTCGGGTTTATCGGGGGGCAGGGGCGGCGGGGAGGGGGCTGCGCTCCGCAAACAGCCCAACCCGCAGATGAAAGGGGACCGGCGCCTTGAAGCGGTAGCTCCGGCATCCCCGGGGGCCAGCGAGGGCTGGTGGTCCCAGTGCTGGGGGCACAGCAGGTCCCAGCACTGAGTGCATGGCTCCCAGTGCGTCCCACCCACTGGGTTGTGGGTCCCAGTGCATCCCAGGGCTGAGCACGAGTGTCCCAGCACGTCCCAGTGCCAGCAACCAGGGCTCCAGTGAGCTCCAATGTAAAGGCCATGGGTCCCAATAAGTCCCAGTGCAGGAGCAGTGCACCCAGTATGTCCCAGTGCCAGGGACTAGGGCCCCAGCAAGCCCCAATGTAAAGGCCATGGATCCCAGAATGTCCCAGTGCAGGAGCTGTGGAATCCAGCACATCCCAGTGCTGGGGTCATGGGTCCCAACACATCCCAGTGCCAGCGACTAGGGCCCCTGCAAGCCCCAGCATAACAACCATGGGTCCCAGTTAAGTCCCAGTGCTGGCGCTGTGCACCCAGTATGTCCCAGTGCTGGGGCTGTGGATCCCAGCATGTCCCAGCAATGGGGCCATGGGTCCCAGCACATCCCAGTGCCAATCTTGTGGGTCCCAACATGTGCCGGTGCCAATCCCGTGGGTCCCAGTACATTCCAGCCCCTCCCAGCACCGTGAGAGGGAAACGGTGACTCAGAGGCGCCGGAGGCTGCCGGCCGGTGGGAGCCGAGCGCCCCTTTGCCCCATGCTGGGCGAGCGCCGTGGCCACCACAGCCCATCACCCGCGGATGCTCCCGGCTCCCCGGCTGCCGCAGCCCTGCGAGGAGCCCAGCCGCACTGCCTCTCTCGCGCTCCCCTCCCATCCTCTCCCCTTCCTGCGCGCGGACACCCTTGGAAAGGCTCTTGGCCGCTTTCTCTGAGACAGGAAGGTGTCCCCGAGTCTCAGGAAGGAAAAACACTCAGTGCTGAACCCACAAAGACCGTCTCCGAGGGGCCGGGGCTGGAGAGGCTCCAGGCCTGACATCACCTGGGAACTGGAACCAGAACCGCAGCTGCACTCCGCGCCTGGTATTTTTTTCTTTAACTTGTGTTTTTAAACTTTCTTTTTATAGATTTTTTTTTTCCCCTTTCCCTTCTCCATTCCCCTCCCAAATATTTCAGCCTCTCCGCAGTTTAACCTTGCCAGGCCAGCGAGGCTGGAATGCAGCAGGGCTGCACCCGTGGCCAGAGCCCGGCGGTGCCGACAGCCACCGCGCTGCTGGGGTGGCCGAGGCTGGGTCCGGCCGGGCAGGAGCTGCCGGAGCCCTGGGCAGGCGGGCAGGGGTCTCGGGCAGGGGCTCGCTCCCTGCTGATGGGGGGCCAGGACCCCACAGCCCCCGGCACCGCTGTGCACCAGGGCCGGTGGAAAGGGACTCGTGGCCTCGTGGGGACCCAGCAGGGCCCGGGCAGGCACGGGGGCGTGGGAGGATGGAGCCGCCATGGCAGAGGGCTCTGGCAGAGCCTGCGGTCAGTGGGCAGCACTGCTGTCCCGACCCACAGCCCCTGGGATGGGGCACTGGGGTCAAGCCGTGTCCGAGCCTGAGCCTGAGCCTGAGCCTGAGCCTGAGCCTGAGCCTGAGCCTGTGCCAGCCGAGCAAGCAGAGCCTGCCAGGGGTGTGGGACATGAAGGCAGGTTTCAGCCCCGGGATCCAGCCCTCCTCACACCTTGTCCTTTGGCAACACCTTTGGGTGCTGCCTGCCCACCTCCGGCTCCTCCCGGAGCAGGGGCTCAGGGCAAAGACCCCAACGTGTCCTGCACTGGCACTGGAGCGAAGCTCAGCCACGGGCTGCCCGCGAAACCTCCCTGTTGCAGTGACCGCAGCGATTGACCGAGCATCAGAGGTCACCCCCGGCCCTGTCGGACCTGGGGGCAAACGGCTGTGAAGCAACCCCCAAGGTCTAGATGGCAGCAGGTGGGGACATGGGGACATGGGGACAGAGGGACAGAGGGACAAGGGGACAGAGGGACAGGGGGACAGGGTTCTGCTGCCCAGGGCAGGGCAGGGGGAAGGACTGGGGAAGGATGGGCACACCAAGGGCTGGGATAGGATGGGGTGAATGGGATGGGATGGGATGGGATGGGATGGGATGGGATGGGATGGGATGGGATGGGATTGGACGGGACGGGATGGGACAGGCAGACGGGGTGTCAGTGTGATGGCCCCCACACTGGGGTGCCGGGCAGCCCCTGCCTCTCCGTGCCGGCAGACACAGACCGTACTTGACCCTGCCGTCACCCTGCCAGGGTCCCTGGGGAAGGAACGGGGCAAAGGGTCTGCTTGAGACCCCCAGGACACCCGCCAGCTCCTCGCCACCCCACCGCGGCCAGCAGTGACCCTGCAGCCGCTGAGCCCCACGCCAAGCACTCCGTGGGCACCCGTGCTGCCAGGCACCCCGGTGCCACCACCCCGCTGTGTCCCTCCATGCACCGGACCCCTCGGAGCTGCTCGCTCTGCCAGGACCCCGTGCCGGCCACGGTCCCCAGGGACGCGGGCCCCGGCGGCAGGGACAGGGTGTGAAGCCGCGGCGCGGGGTGAACGCCAGGTTAATCTCCCGCTGGAGCTTCCCTCTGCAAACAATAAGACAATGCCCGGCCGGGGGCCGCCTGCGTAACCAGCGGTGCGGAGGGGAAGTTGTAATATTTGGATTTAGCACTCAGTAAATTAAGGAAGAAAAAGGAAAAAGCGCTAGGGGTAATCAGAGCAGGGCTGGCCCTGTGCCCTGCCCCATGGCCAGCAGCCCCGGGGGGCTCAGCCCGGCCTGGGGACGGCCACTGAGCAGGGCCAGTGTCCCCGAGAGCCAGCATGGCCGGGCGCGGCTGGGAGAGGGAGATGTCCCCGAGGGTTGGGCAGGGGACGGGCATGTCCCTGCCACAGGGACGCACAGCCCGGAGGGTCGAGGCTCGGGCGCTCAGCAGGCCTGCGGGCAGCGCTCGCAGCAAACACAGTATCTCCTGTGACACCAGAAAAGGGATCTGGGCCAGGAGTTTATTTTAATCCAGACCTGCTCACGCTCATGGGAAATAAAATCCTGTTTCTACAGCTGGGGTGGCTGGGCAGGAGAAGGCCCCGGGGGGACGGTCACCTCCAGCTGACAGCGGTTGGGGTGGCAGGGGGTGACAAGCGAGGGGATTCTCCCCGAGGTGCCTCCCCTGCGTGGGGCCGCGCAGCGCGAGGGGCCCCTCTGAGCGGGTACGGGGGGCCGTGGGCACTGCAGCTCCCAGGAGGCGTTGGGGATCGGCGCTGGGGACGGGGTGTCTGGGAGCAGGGGCTGAGCCCCATCCTGCCACAGCACAGCCCCTTCCCCAGCACGAGCGGGTGCCCGCAGCAGGGACAGATCTGCAAGGCTGGGCTTAACCCCTCCAAGATATGGCGGGGGTCTGGGCTGCCTTCCCACCCTCCGGCAACCCCGCTCCCCACCGGGGCAGCCCTCTGCCTGCCTTGACCCCACCGGGGTGAGCA